CAGAACTGGTGATTTTAATTTTTCTTTTTTAATAAGATATAAGTAAGTTTGGTTTCTTAGCTTCTTAACTAATATTCTCACCTTGTTTAATAGTTTTTCAACAGTACTACCTTTGAGACTATCAATTACTGCTAATTGAAGCGTATGAGCTACACAGCGTATACCTGCAATAAAATGAAAAAAACTATTAATTCTAAATATTCTATAATGGATAAATATTATAAAACAAATATCAATATTCATGTAAACTTATATTTATAACAATCCATTTGCAAATATACCAACTTAGTAAATAGGTGTAAGGGAAATGTTCACACAGTATAATAACAAAGAGAAAATAATATGAGCTACAGCCTCACTATAAAAAAAGTTTGTCTAGTTGTGTTTATGCAACATATCACAAGAGATATTAAAATATAATAATATTATTTATTTATTTATTTATTTAATTTAAATATTTTTAAATGAGTTAAAATATGTGTTTGTAATTATGTATAAACTATGAATTATACTTAATGAACTATTTGTGAGTTTCAATAACTATAGTTAACATTTAAAAAATTACTGCTATTATTTTATCTATAGCCTCTGAAGAGTAATCTATTAACAGACTAACCAGTAAAAATCTCACCACCAATATTTTGGGCAACAATATCAGTTACAATTATTTCTGTTTTTTCATATTGTTCATCAACATCATCAAAGTTTTCATTTAATAAATCAGATATTTCTCCATCATCAAGACCCGGATTAAGAGTTGACACATTTTCAAGATCACTAAAAAAAATGTATCATATTTTTTATAATTTTGTTTAAAACATATGAGTAAAAGTATTACCTGTTATTATCATTATTGTCATCTGATGTAGAGCTAGTATCACTATCATCATTTATTAACTCATATACAGGTTCATCGACTTCTAATTCTAAGTCATTATTTTTAGAAATCTGTGTTTCACACTAATTTTCAAATAAATCAATAGCTTTAAGCATATTTGCTCCGTTATCTGATGTAATAGTATATACTTGATTTATGTCAATTTTAAATTTTTTTAAGATATTTAAAATTGTATCTTTCAAATATATACCTAAAAGAAAAAATGTAAAGCGTTTGAAATTAATTTTGAAAAACTGAAAATAATCCTACCAACGTCCAACACTAAATGTATACTTTACCTGTATGTGACTCGGTAAGTTCTATTAACCCAATCGTCTTCAGTATAATACTATCATCGACAATATATTGAATGTTTATTCCTAGGAATGCTCTGTTCAGCCTCGTAACTGCATCTAATTTTAAGCTTATCAGCTTAAAATGTATGTCTTTCATTATTGTTTTTTTTATCTGATCACATTCTTCGTGTAAATATTTTCTATGAAATAAGGACAGAATTTAAAATTATTAGAAGTTAAAAAATATTTACTGAGTTACAATGTTCTTACCTAATGGACTCTGAATTTATAACAACACTATTTTTTACACCATTCAAAACTGGATCCAATATCTTGCGCAGTCCCAAATCATTCAACATACTGAATGGACGCCCATTTACCGTGACAAGTTCAACACAAGCATCTATTATATCTTTCATAGATATTGATACTTGTACGTTTGGTTTTGAAAAGTTAAAAAGTCTATGATGTGCTTCACTTTTC